CTGCATCGGCAGGTGGACTCTCAACCACTGCGCCACCAAGGAAGCCCCAGGATGGTTCTTTTAAGTCAAAGGACCCACATCCTTCAATCCTGGCCAGGCCAGGAGAGGCCCAAGCAGTGCAGGGCCTGACTTGGGGGCTTCGGAGGCTGCAGGCTTTCAGGACCTGGGGTCTTAGTTGGCCAGGATGATGGTTAAAAAGAAACGGTGCTGCTCTGTGCCCCGCCATGGAACAGAATCGATTCGTGTTGGGTTGATCCACTTCTCAATAAACCCTGAGGGGCTGGGGCAGCCGGAGCCCATTAGCCTGAGCCGCGTGTCCTCCGGCAGGTCACACTGGCCTTCGGCCCCTCGCCTGAGTGACAGTGACAGCAGTGACCTCCCCGACATGGTCACACAGTCCCAAACGCTGGGCACACTGTGGTGAGAAGGGAAGCCGGCCCATGGCCCATGGTCACGTCCAGCCCGGCCTTTGTGTGCTTTATTGCATCAGGGATCCCGCCTGGATGTTGCAGTCCAGGTCTCCCCTTCTGTTCTCACCTGAGGATACTGAGCAGCATGGGCCTCGCTCCCTGGTGGAGGCGGCGGTTGGCGGGGGCGCCTGCTGCCCCTGCCCCATCCCTGTGCACAGCCGGCTGCTCTCCCATGAGCCTCTGTCCTCCCCCCACACCCAGACCAGCGTGGGTGCCAGGCATCCTCCTGTTTCTGAGGAGGTCCTCCCCACACCCAGCCTCGGTGCACATTTGGGTTTGTGCCACCCGCCAAACTTGCCCAACTGCCCTGTACTAACTGGGATGGAAGGAGCCCAAGACCCAGGATGGAGCATCCAAAAAGCAGGACTCCTCAATGTAACCCAGTTACCACATTTGGGGACAGTGGGACAAGGCTGAGTGCCATGCCCCGCCCCAGATCCGCCCACTGGATGTTCCAAGAGGGGAAGGGGGCTGCTGCCCATCATGGGGGTGGGGGCCAATGCGGGGAGGCTGTGCCGATACCCAGGGACGGAGACTGTGGTCTGGGCAGGAAGTGAGTTCCTGGTCCCCAGATGACGAGGAGGGGAAGATGCTGGGCTCAGAGCCCTGCTGTCGGGGGAAGGGCTCGGGAACCTGAGCCCGGCAGGGCCAGGCACTTCCGTGGGTGACAGAGGCCCCCAGCCAGACCAAGGGGCCAGAGCACATCAAGGGCTTCCTGAAGGAGGCTCTTGACCCTCGGGTGAGTCTGGGTCTGGTGCCTTCCAGGGAAGTTGAAAGAGTGGAGCCTCATCCTGTACGGCACGGCCCAGCACCCCTATACCACCTTCAGCGCCCATCAGTCTCGCTCCCGGATGCTGGAGCTCTCGGCCCCAGAGCCAGAGCCACCCAAGGCCGCCCTGTCGCCGTCCCAGGCCGAGGTTCCCGAGGACGAAGAGGACTACACAGGTAATGAACCTGAGGCCAGAGGAGATGCTCGTTTTTCCAGTGTAGCTCTTAAAACGCGGGCTGTTCCCGGCGGAAGGCGGGGCTAGGGTTGTAGGCCTTCCTCTTTCCTGGGAGTCGTAATAATGATGGTAATTTGCACTCGCAGCTCCTCCCTCCCATGGCTCTCCTAATATTTTACAGACCAGTAAGTATGCTTCAAACCAGTAAGTACTCGCCAACCTTCTCAGGCCGGGAATAGAGGTTCCCTATGCCCAACCAGAATGGGGACTTGCCGCCTGGCTAGTGACACTCCTCTGGGGCGCCCCCTTTTTCTCAGGGGCCCCTGTCTTCAGTCTCAGCCTCCTGACCCTCTCTCAAGTCCATCCACTTTCAGTCCTTGTGACCAGAATGTGGGAAGGACCAGGGTGCTACCAGGAGCCCAGGACAGTTGGGCTGAGTGAGCACAGCCAGGAGTTGCGGGCAGTGGAGATCTTGACCCGCCCAGGGGCCTGGGAGAAAGACCCAGCACAGGGTCTCAGACCTGATGTCAGAGGACACTGATGCTGCCAGAAGCAGCTCAAGCCTCTCATAGGAAGTAAAGATGCCTCGTTGCAAATCCTCTTCCTCCTGCTGCGCCCCTGCAGGGTGGCCCTGGGCTCCGGGCCTGCAGCGCTCCACGCTGAGAGCTGGGGCAGCATGCAGAGGACGTTCCCAGCCGCCGGGCTGGGCGCAGTTTTGGTCAGCGTGCTAGGTGGCAAGCTCTTCCTTTCCCTCTGAACCATCCCAGTGATTTGTGAGAAACGGAGCCTTTCTGGTTGGGCATATTTTCCTTAGCTAAATGTTACAGCTACTGGATAAATGATGGGTGAGATCTAAGAATATTGATGGTTTGAGTTATCTCATAGCTTCTGAAGAAAAAAAGTAACAAAATGGGAAACTCCACCAATACAGATCAAGCATAAATTATGGCCGATTCAATTTTAAACGTCCTCTACCGTGCCTTTAAAATGGAGCATTGAATTATGTATGGACTAATCTGCTCTGTTTCCCCCTGTGATTTATAAACTGTGGCAAGATTCAGTAATTATTAATAAAGGACTGATTTTTTTTTCCCCCTTAAAATCTGCTATGACTCTAACCTCACACTGTCCTGGAATCTCACTCTAACTGTTCTGCAGCCCAGGCCGCTCAGTCCTTCCCAAGCCTGGCCCAGGTGGTTAGAGGGGTCTCTGGGACTAAGGTGTGTTTGCAACACTTGGGGAAGATCCGTGCAATCTCAGGGGCAAGTGGGGCAGGTGCACCAGTCACAGCAGGAAAGAGCGAGAGAGGGGAGGGGGCAGGAGGGGTGTGGTGTGGAGGGAGAGGAGGAGCCGGCTTCCGGGGGAGGGGGAGCAGTGTGGAGGAACATCTCATTGGTGCCCTGGGGGAAGGCCTCTGAGTCACAGACAAACAAGCCCAGGTGCAGAAGCCCAGGGAGAAAGAGAAGGTGCTGGGCAGGGGAGATTTTGAGGTGGGGCGATGATTCTCGACGACTTTCTAAATATTTATTTATTTATTTATTTGGTTGCGTCTGGTCTTCGTTGCAGCAGGTGGGCTCCTTAGTTGTGGCACGTGGGCTCCTTAGTTGCCAGCAGGCGGGCTCCTTAGTTGTGGCATGCGAGCTCTTAGTTGCAGCACGTATGTGGGATCTAGTTCCCTGACCAGGAATCGAACCCAGGCCCCCCGCATTGGGAGCGTGGATTCTTAACCACTGCACCACTGGGGAAGTCCCTGTTGATGCTTTCTGTAGAGCTTCATGCACAGCTGAGGGGTGAGCTGGCAGGGGAGGCTGCGTGCCATTCGGAGGCGGAGCTGGTCATGCAGACAGTGCCAGGTGGGGGGGGCGCCAAGCAGCGCTGTGATGGGGGCACACAGGTGGAGGGCCAGCTCTCCCCAGGATAAGGAGTAAAGGGGAGGAGGTGAGTGAGGGCCGGAGAGGGGAGTCCAGCCGCCCATGGACAGTAAGGATCCCAGGACGGAAGGGGAGTGGGGCTCCTGGGGGGGCTCAGGGGTGTGACAGGCGCCTCACCAGAGCCATCAGGACAGCTGCCCTGTGAAGGGGTCAGCTGTGAGGTGGACATGGGTAGGAGACACTCTCAGCCACTGTCACCACAAGTGGATTGGGATGAGGCGAACAAGGACCAAGTCAAATGAGAATCGATCCCCAAATTGAGTGAGTCTGGGGCCTGGGAAGGGGTGGGGGCACCTTGTGCTCCAGCACGACCCCAGCGCCCTCCCCCACCCAGACCACAAGGAGCGTCTAGTGCATCCCCAGGGATGCACGCGGCTCTGAAAGGGGTTCACAGGGGGACCCACAATGCGAACCTTGGAAATGTCAGCAACGGTAAACCTTCAGGGAGGGAAGCCAAATACAGCTGAGTCTAACACTGGGAAGGTCTGGAGGCCCTTTAAAGAGGAATGAAGAGGGCTTTGTGCCCCTCAGCAAAGACCCATTGTGGGTGGCAGAGAATGGGGACTTTTGTCTTTCCCTCACGTCCCCAGGAAACTCTGGTGGCTGGCAAGACACCTCTTCTTTGCTTCTGAACTCCCCACCCCCTCCAAAAACTAAAACCTTGTAGAAGGTTGTTTTTTCTTCCAAGGACTCAAAAACTTTCATAACGCCCCGCCGGGCCCCTCCCTCCCCACATGGGGAGGCTTTCCAGAACCATCTCCCAGAGGAGGAAGAGCG